GGGCCCTCGGCGGGCGGGGCCGGGCTCAGGGCGCGCTGGCGCGGGGAGCGCGCGGGAAGCGGGGGCTTCTCGGCGGCGGGAGGGGACGAGCGTCCGGTCAGCGGCACGTCGGAGCCCGTGTCACCTGCGGGAGAAGACGGTGTGAGCGCAGAGGGCACCTGGCGGGGGCCCTCGTGGGGGGAGGAGGGTAAGGGGTGCAGGGGAGACCCGGGAGGCGGCGCTGGTCAGGTTCCCGGCCCCAAGCCGCACAAACTGCACGGAAGTCAAGACTTGCTGGGTTGACCAAAATCCGGAGCATGCCTGCGGGCAGGGGCATCGCCAACCTTCCCAGTTGACTGCGGGCGCCCCCACCTCTGGAGGCTGCCACCGCCCCTCTGCGGGTCCGGGAATCACAGGGACACTCCAGGCCGTGGAACCTTCCCTCTAATCTTAAAGGGTGGCCGAGCAGCCTGGAGGGTCCCCAACACACCCAGTCTGCGCCCCGCCCCCACTACCTGGAATATTGTGGGACACTCTGAGGCCATGCCCGGGCCGTGTGGCCACCACGGTGCACAGTTACAGGGTCAGCTGAGGACCTGCCTCTGCAGCCCCCTGACGGGCCCCTCCACTACAGGCCCGTGCTCAGTGCCATGCCCGCCCCATACAACCACCCTGTCCAGGAATGGCCCTGGCCACATGGCCTCCCTGGACACAGTGCCCTTGCTCTAGGACAAGCAGGGCTCAAGGAAGAGAGAGGGGAAGCTTATGGGTTCAGAGGCAGAAGCCAGGAAGAAGCAGAAGAGCAGCAGAAGCACCAGACAGAGGCCCTGCCCACGTGGTCTTTCCCACAAGCTCACTTCTAGGCCCCAGAAACCCCCCGAGAAAGCCCAGCTTTATGCATAAAGAAAATGCTGCACCGGGCAGCACCAGGCAGGCTTGCTAGAACACCCCCAACGTGAAGGCCTCTCCCCAGCTGGACTGATGCACGCCCTCTCCAAGTGTCCACAGGAGAGAAAAACAAGGAGGTCCTGCTTCCGGTGAAATGAATGGGAAAGCTGCTGTGTGAGAGCCCCTTCTGTGCTGGGGGAAAGGTTCACCTCCTGTTTCCCCCCAAGTGCCCACCAAACACCCAAAGGAAACGTGAAATGAACCCAAAACCTTGCACAAAGGGGCAAACCCTCTTCCCTATGGAAGGTAAAGTGGGGACCCAGCAAGAAGTCCCTGAAGCAGAACAGGTGCCTCCCCCC